AGAACCCTGGACGACTCCACGAGAAAAGGCGACGGTTGGACAGTGAATTGAAGACTCGAACCGACATGGTCCGTTGTTGGAGAAACGCAGCAATCCAATCAAGCGCGAGGTCTCTGATACCGAAATTCCAGTCATGAACTAAGTTTTTGTTAGAAAAGTGATGTGTTTGGCACTCAGTTTGATCTCCGACTAGTGCTGCCTGTAACTGCAATACGAGAAAAGTAGTGACTGCATTCCGTATTTACATGGTGGTAAACAGCTATGCTTTTGCATATTGTACCCCTGGGTGCTGAGCGAAATGCACCTACGAATACTGGGCGCACTTGAACGTTTCTTGTTGCCGTTTCCCACAAAAACGCTGGATGAGATAGTATCTCAACACGACAACGCCACAATAATAGACACATCACAAAAGCATAGTACAATCTGCTTGCGATTCCACGATTTCAACCCAGTTGAGAAACTCGGAAGAATTGTTGACCAGGCGAGTGTATGCAGTTGTTCAAACACAATTTCTTTCATGGACTAAACGCCAGCTTCAACGTAAAATGAGGCAAATGGTAGCATTGCTGTTTTGTGAGTTAGTGGTCAGTAGTATGCCTATTCAGTATGCGCCAAAATGCTCTAGGAAAAAGTTTGCTAATAATGTTGCACTGTCCCTGTGTTTTTGTCGCGCTCTACTTCCGCAATACATTCGTATAGTATTTGTTTAAAACAATGACTCGGTCGTACATATCTTACTATTTTCTATTTTTTGTGGCTTCGTTGACCCCTGAACAAAAGGGATGGCAAAAGCCGGATCAAAAAGATCGATTGTCGTTATGGTTTTTGCGCAAACTGTACGTGGTATACGTTATGATTTCAGTTGACAAAGTATTGAAAAATCGGTTCTCGTAGCTCGGGTGAACTGAATTCCATTTCGCCTGTTCGCCGTGCTTGGCAATTGATTTGCAAACGTTTCATCACCAGCGGAGATGACATCAGTGCTTGTGATGATGCGAACCAATTACCAAGCTCGGAGAACTGGCGAAATGGAATTATGATTTCAGTGTTTTTCTCAGTTTGGGTGCCTGTCTTGTCCCAATTTGTTGGTGTGATTGTCACGTGTTTTCCCATGGTCTCTTGGGTTGATTGAAGTATAATTTTCAGTTGCCGAATAACGAGTGAGGCTTTTAGCCCCATGACCATTTAAAAAGAGGAAAAATTTAATGAATTTCCATTGGAGGAATTTGTTGTGTATAGAGAAAACAAAGCGTGGACTGAAAAGCTAGGAAACACTGTACAGTTGTTTCGACCTTTTTATCTTGGGATATTTGTCTCACAATCTCTGCACCTTCCTCAGATCAGTTGTATTCACTTATTCTCACACTGACCGATGCTTTAAATTCAAGAAATTGTTGGGAACTAGAGACACTGCGGTTACGATTACCTACTTTTAAAAACATTCAGCCAATGAGTTGATGAAAAGCAGACGTGAATGAAATTTCTCATTTTCCAGATTTGGGGTAAAATGCGGTGCTATATTTTTTAAACTATCAGTCACTTTCTATTTTGTTAAATCTACCTATTCCGAATTATTTTTTCCATACGGTGCCCAGTAAATAGATTAAAAAATAATATAGCTACGAATCACCCGCATAAGATCTCTCGTCCTATTGGAAGTAAAAATCTATTCCACGAAACGTGAAAATTGACCTTCAAAATTCGACCTTCAGATATGCTACTGGTTCAAGAAACGTTTTTGTTATACCGAAACCAGATGAGACATTCAAAAGTTTTCGGTTAAGCTGTGAAGCAGACAGGTAAGTTTTGGTCCCTGACTAGTCCAAATGTTTTGATATATAGGTGAGCACAATTTATCGCATAATCAAGGGAATTTCCCCAGGAAGATATCGAGGCAGAGGAAGAAAACCGTCCACATCGAAGTTAGATGATGGGTGCATTCGGTTTCAGTTGAGAAAAACTGCTAAGAACTAATATCGAGTGTAGTCTGAGCAGATTGGACTCACTTTTCTCATGCCACTTCGGAAAAGGATTTCTAGATTTGATTTGCGGCTGAGATCAGTCGGTGTGAAACTGGTATTAAACGCCAATCAATAGTAGGCTCATACTGATTTTGCTTGGAAATTCAAATCTCACCGGTCATCATTTTGGCGTTTGATTTATCGCACTGACGAACGTGTGGTGCTTGACGAGCAATATACCAGGCAGAAACAGGGGCACCGGTGGACCTAGTTTTTTCAAAGAAAGTAAATCCATCGGTCTCAAAAAGTAACTATTCGTCCTTCCTGATGAATTGCATGGAAATTCGATACGGAGAGCCTTGTCGTTAACCTCCCTGTACATGCCCCTCTGGATAGGGCCAAGTTTGTAGCACTGATAAAGGAGGATTTCGATGACTAGCGCACTCTCCACGCACTCAGGAAATTCAACATAAAGCTCCTTATCATGTCTCATCTAAGATTTGTTGTAGAAATCGCTTTGATCATATGTTCTTTTTCCACATATAGACAGGTTCTCAGTTTTTCGATTTCTAAGATCGGATTCATTAACCTGCCGTCTAGCCGTCCATATCTGAATGCAATTGAAAACTTCTTCTGTGTTAAATCGATAGAGAAGTCCACTACCTCGAGAGTGGGTCATTGCACTCAAGGGTGCGACATGTACAGGAAAGAACTGACAATTACGAATGGATTGTCACTGCTTTTCAGTCGCGCTCGGTTATCAAGTTGCATGTGATGCTCCACCAAACCATGTCGAAATCGAGGAATCATACACCTCGTGTGTGAGGCTCGACACGTTAGGTGTGGTTAGATGAAATGATTTGGTGAAAGGCATGGCTGCACGAATTCCATCATTATAAAAGTTGATACTGGCTACTGAACTGTCCGAACGTACCTGGTTGATCCATGCAGACGTCACACAAAATAGTACACGGAATTTCGAAGTAATGAACATCGAGATTGGCATTCAGGCAGAAGTGTGATGAGTTTCCGAATCAGGTACAACAAGAAGAATACCAAAAGCCTATGTAGAAAACACGGCAAACGTTTTCCCTAAACCAGTCTTCCCCTTTCCGACCCGGTTCCTCCTTCAAATTTTCCAATATTGTTGCGGTAACGCTTTACATGTTCCCGAGACAATGCGAAATACATTTTCCTAGTTTTCTGATTGCATCCCTTCTCTATGCTGATCAAGGATTCTGCCGGGAAACATTGATTACGGTATCTGAAAATAGGCAGTCGTCAATACATGCACCGCCTTTGTCTAGACACGTAAACTGTCATTGATTTCTTTCATCAAAACAAGTTTCCGTTTATTACGATTCTCTTCACAATACTGTGGGGTGGATCCCATAGTCACGAAAATTTGCTGTTCAGTGATGGAAACCGGTAACCTAAGCCGTGGAACTTGGAGTAGCGAACCACATAAGGCCCCGCAATGTTAGGCGTGATATTGAACCGGATTTGTTTCTATCCAAATGCGTTAACACCGCGCTCACTTTATTGGAGCTCCGCAAAGTTCATCATAGCAACCTGGGTATCCCCATCCCATCATGACGAGACTGTACCTTGATGTGGTGTGATGGCTTGTTCACATCTCTGACCCAATGAGCTACACAGGAGGGCTTTTGTCAAGCCGGAGAGCTAATCGTGCCTGGAAGGGTAGAGGTCAGATGATGTCCAGTCTCCTGATCCTTCAGGTTGGGAGTTCGATTAGCATTGGCGTTTCAGTCGGTAAAAGTGGTGGAAGAGTAATCGATCTGAGTAAATGAGTCTCCGCTTCACTTCACTCGCTGGCTTATGGCTAGAACTAAAGGCTCTGGCTAAGAACTCTAATCGTCCTCCTGCTTTGTGGCTGGACACTAACAGTACCTGTTCATAAAGCTCCAATGAGCACAAATTAAAAGTAATTCTGGACAGCATCGGTCATCGTGCCGTATAATCAGGACCACGTTGCCCATTGCATCGACCGAGGTGTATACTGATAAAGTGGACTACTGCTCAAATATCTCAATCTTTGTTTAATTCTCATCACCAAATATATTGGGTCCTCATGCCGTGCGCAACACAGTCGCCATCGAATAAGCAGTAGTTAAACCAGTTGAACTTAATTGTGGTCTTGTCCCTAACACGAGCACGATTTGGAATGACTGAAAAAGGCCGTTTGCTTGCTCGCTCTTCCGCTCAATAAGACGTTTTCTCAATTACGGGGTTTATTTCTGGTGGTGATGCATACCACCGCCAGAGGTTTCTCGTGAATAACTTTTAATGATGATGATGATGATTTACAACCTCATGAATTTTGGTTCTGGCGAAGAATTTCGAATTTCTGCTTTGTGTTACCGAAGGTCAGAAAATGCGAACTTCCATCCTCACACGTTGATATATTGTTGATACCATAGAGCAGTTTCAATGTGTTCTCTCACTGTCCATCTGATCTGTTTTCTGTTGGCTCGATAATTCTCCCCCCGACTGCCCGTTTGCCGTACTCCAAACACACAGGTGGATCTGCACAATCAGAATCCGGAATCAGGCGCGGAAAAACCGGGTGTACAAGGTTCGGAACATCTGCATCGCTTACAGGAAGTGAGTTCGACAATACAAATTGCACTTCTTATGGAAACCAGAATTCTGATCATCAGTTTATCCTTATCCACATTGGTTATCTGTACCACGCATACAGTAATGTGAATAGGCCGGTTTATTCTATTTGGTCACACGATCCTGGCCGGGTTTCAAAGATGGAATTCTTCCATCAGGTTTGTTCATTCTGATTTTTTTTCAAATTCGCAATCGATAAAAGTGTAACTTTGTCACCTGTCGCGTTGCCTGTTTGTTACTGATATAGCTAAACACTAATCCTCAGTAGAGGGATCTATATGTTTCAGAGGAGAAATACATGGCAAATGGAGCCTGAACTGAAAACTAGGAAACACTGGACAACTGTTTCGACCTAGTTGGATCTCATTAGTGCAGTGTGCGAACTCATCGATCCATGTTTCACATACTTATTGGTTGTCTAGAATCTCTTTTGGTTGATCTTTCACATCGTTCTATTTATGAATAATCAATCACAAATCATGATTCCTTTTCTGTTGATTCGGGGATTTTGTTTTTGGATTTATCTTGTTTCTGATTTTCCAAGGGGTAAATATTTTTCGGCATTCAAATTTGGATAAAGATAAGTAGCATGGCATTTTCCTGTGCTTCTGAATTTTCGATATCCTATCGTGAGTGCATCGATGCTACTAGTAGTTACAGTGGTTTCTGTCCTTTTCATATGCATTTTCAAGAAGTCTAAATTGAAAGTTGAAGATCTGAGGCGGCAATTTAGATACACATGTTGCCGACACTGGAATACAATACCTCTGGAAATATGTGATGGTGACCTATATTACCGGACGGTTGCGATGCTTGCGAGCTTGGCACTTCAACTTTTCTCATCGATATTGATCGAAAAAAAAAACTAATTGCTATCGTGTAACATGCGAACTGTGATTGGTTCATCCAACCCTACAGTTACATGTACTTCCAACACATTTTCAGTAGTCAGCCAGTCTGAGTTCAAAACAGTATGCACACTTATTGATTTGGTCACAACTGACATTGTTCATCATTGTTTGTGCTTTGAGGAGGGCGACGGTGGGGGAAAGGAAGGAGAAGTGGCAACTGGGAGAGAGCGAATTTCGTTAAGAAGCAACGGTTCAATGTAATGAAACGTCAGGCTATATTGCAGTTCACAATAGAAGCATTGCCGTACATTTAGGTCACATTGCGTACCCTATGACATCGAATAAAATGGTCGTGCACAGGTTACTCTCCAATCAGAACGAGTCACTAGGTCGTGCAATCCGATGGAAGAATCCCCGTGAATCCCACCGACCAAGGATTCAATTGGCCTGAGAAAAGTAGCTGAGCTCAGCTGAATGTTGGTTGTTTGCAAAAGCGCGTTAAGTGAATTCCACAGAGGCCTTCTGTTCACTACAACGCGTCACAACGAATCCAAAACACCAAAACTCCGTCAGCTGGCACAACTCCTCTCACACGTTAGGCTATGATATCGATCAGTTTCATTTGAGATGCATATCAGAATTGGTTTGCCATTACAGTGTTGCTTCCTGTCCACGGTTGGTCGTATTTGATTAACGCCGACTAGTGAGTAGCATAAAATCTCTCTTCATCATTAATCACTAATAACTATTGTCTATGAATTTGACCTTAGCTTAGGTTAGCGTACTTTAGTTCGACTGGATTCTTGAAGAGAATGAACCATCTTTATCAAAATAATCGCCTTCGGTCGGTGTCGGATACATGAGACATTCACAACAGCACCAGAATTTCAAGGGTGCATCGCCGCTGTGCATAACCAAACGTGAACTACAAGCCAGCCACGTTTTGGCTATGAATGCTACCCAGGAATGTGTACACCTCTGTTAATCATACAAATTTACTTTATAGCCCGTGGATTAAACAACGAATCTCGCCCAACCACTAAGGTGCTATTGTTTTCGCACATCTTGCGCCTCGATTGCCCTCAAACCGGTTTAGCCCGCGTGTCGAACTGTCTACCGGGGCAAAACCTTTGATAATTGCTTCACATTCTTCTAACCGCAGATGAGAGCTGCTTAACTGATGAAAACCAAGGTGGTGAAATATACCGCAAGGGACACTACAGTCTACCAGATGAGCGTTGCTACTTTTAAGCTACTTCTAACGCCTAGAGTAGAGTGCCCCGTTTGTATGGATGGCGGTAGCACAGTAGTTTAGTCGCTGTCACAGACATGCTTTGGGTCCTGTGGTCCGAAATTCGAGCCCCGCCACCCCCACCCAACTTTGGTGGTAGGCAGCTTTGCTGTCGTCCGGTCCAATACCACACCTAACCTATCGGGGCCTTATGTGGTTCGCCACCCCAAGTCCCGGGGATTAGGCTACCGGTTTCCATCACTGAACTGCAGGTCCTCGTGTCTATGGAACCTTCCCTGTCTGCTGTTCATCACTCGAAAATGTGTAGTAAAAAATAAGGTCTATCGAAACTGCGGTCTCGGAACTCTTATTTATTGAGTTTTCGTCGCAACACATTCTGCGGTTCCATTAATTAGGTTCGCTGATCCCTGTTTATCATTGCTTTCCTTTTAGAAAGCATATCATCTATATCCAGCATATATTAGTTTGCCCTCACTCTCGTTTAGCTACGCATGAATGAAAACCTTGAATCTTCAACGACTGGTTTCCACCGAGTCGTGTGGTCCCCGCACATTTGTGTTAGTGGTGTGACCGACCTACGGCCCAGTGTTCTTGCTGCTGTTCTCAATAAGGTCTGTTGCAGCCGGAGTTTCGAATGATACCGTGCTTGTATTTCAGTCGCCGTCTTTCTCTGCCCAAAGAACGCATTAGTGCGCAGAACAAAAACGTGCATTTGAGGGTTCCGACTAACGATAGCAAACCAGGTCTCTCAAAATTCGTGAACAACCCAACTGTCATGCACTTACCGCTCAGCAACACGTTTGCAGGGCTACAGTTTAAGGGGTCTTTATACTTGAATTATTGCATACTGTGGCATTGTGCGAAGGGTGAGATCTGGCATTATGAGTGGTGGGAAAGTTAAACGACCCAAGGTTTTGAAGCTTCTCATTTGCCACTGTTTTCTCCACCGTGATCGCGTTTTTAACCGGCATTGTCACATAAGTTATCTTGGGTCGACTTAATATCATGTGATCTAAACACACGTCATGTGTTTTCTTATTACCTCTCGAAAAGTATCCTGTGCTAACCCTTTTTCATACATGCAGCTTATCAAATTGGCCATACGCTTCACCAGTGATACTCTTAGGTTTTACTTTCAAAAGATTTCCAACTAATTTCTAGTTCTCATAACCACCTTTCTTTTTCCAGCAAAATATTCATCCCGCGCATTTAGCCCATTTTATATTAATACAATCTTTTCGATATATGCCACTCCTACAGACCGTGACATGCTCCCCATATTGACTTCAGGTAATGGAATTCCACTTACTTGACTGAATCTCTCTGTAAGCATCTTGATTCACAAGACAGAGCATTTTTAATCCTGTTGTATACTATCTCTCTCTCTCCGGATCGGTGTGTCTCCAGCCAAGGGAGAGGAAAACAGACATCCAGTGATGAACACACAGTCTAGCTATTCACATGCATAACACCTCTTCAAGCCGGTTTATCTTATAGGTATAGACAAAACAACAACGTCACTACTTTCGATTCACTGAAATGTTCTTCGATTTCTCCAACCAACTAGGTACAGATTCTCCAAAACCCAGACTGGAGGACAGCCCGTACTTATTCTATCTGAGGTTTCTGTGCGTTTCTTTGTCTCTTGTCTCCATGTGATCTATTGGCCTCCACGTGCTTTTTTCCAGGTCGGAGAGGCAACTGCAAACAATGTGAGGTGCGAAAGACGACCACTCGATATGTAGACTACGTATCATAACCGGCAAAGCCTGCTCAATCGGATTCTGTTTGTTAAGGGATTTTCCTCGGAAATAGTCACACACACACACAAGAATCTTTTTTCGCGGTTACTAACTCACTCACTCCATCCAAGCTGCACCAAGCTACATTAACATTGATTGTCTAAAACCTCCAGTCGAGTGAAACGTTCAAGCTGCCCTCCATAAACCTCAAACCGAGCTGGTGACCAATGCTACATCCAGGAAGGTGTAGTGTGTGTGGTTCGTACTCCTCTTCTTGGTTAGTTCACATTCAAGATTTTTACCCACCTTCCCTAGTCGGTAGTTTATCGACCCGGATGTTGGCTTTTCGTCCTCTCACTTTGGTGGGAAAACACCTCCACCACGGGAAGGTAATAAGTGGAGTTTTCTCGACCGCGGCTTATTTGAGTCGCTTGGTCTTACGGGAGCATTTTAACAGGTGTAAGAGAGGAGTGATCTACTGCAGTCCGAGACATCCACCCTTGACCATGCTGAGATTTTCAGATTTGTGAGCCTAATTCAACATTGTTTTATCGATTGGAACTCGGGTTCATTCAAATGCTTTTTTAACTACACTCAGTGGCATCAACTTACAACTGATCCAATTGCATCCTTTTTAATTGCTTTTTTTCTTTCTTGTAGCAATTGCTTCCTGGACCACCGTTTGCATTTGGCGCAGTCTTGGTATTGTTAGCCATCTTGGTCGCCTGGTTCATCCCCGAAAATCCGAAATCGACGGTGACCAAACTGATCCCTACGGCACTGTCAAGCGACAGTAGCGGTCCCATCGCTAGCGAGGCATATGAGCGCACACGGTGGAGTGCTTCCGAGATAGAATACAGCCAACTCCAGCCCGGTTTCGGTGGCATGGTGGAGGATGAACAGGACTTGTACAGCACCAACAGTCAGACCCTCTTGTTGCTTGATCCCCAAAGTCATTTGAAGCACTCACGTTTATGGGACAAGAAGGATCACGACAACGCAGCAGGCGATCTTGGTCTGTGGGATCGTCTTATGTCTGGTTGGTCTGACCGCCGGCGTCGTGCACCCCCGATTGTGTCTCGCCGCGCAGGGCGTCTCTCGCGTTATCCACCCACAGTTTCTTTTACCAGGGCCCATTTAGTCGAACCCATTCGACGTCTGATTGGCGGCTGGTCTGCATTGGGTCGTTCCCCGNGCATTGGGTCGTTCCCCGGATCCAGTGACACATCCAACTTCCAGTCGGTCTCTATTCGATCATTCGGCTTTTTCTTCTAGCGTTGGAGGCCTATCTCCGTCCTCTACTGTCCTCGGGCCAGCAGGAAACTCAGGACCGGTCAACCTCATGGGACCTGATGGGTTTCCCACCAGACAGGATAACATTCCTAGCTATCTTGCACGATTAGACGCCGAAGCTGCCGACCTGAGTAATTATCGAAGTCATAATTTGAAAAATTTTCTAAATCACCCCATTCCAGCTGAAAGCGACGTGGTCACTGCTCGTCGGTTTGACGCGGCGCATCACAAAACTCGTGTATTCACCTCAGGCACGGTAAACAACAATCCCGGGTTACTGGGACCGTCTGTACATCAATTGGACGTGTTAAACAGTGCGCTATTGATGGACAGCGACAGTGGTGTCCCCGGGGATGTTTCTTTGTCCGGAACCCCGATCGGTGTTGATACCGTTTCCGACACGACCGTCGAACTCATGGAACCTCGCAACCTTCCTGTGCATTCTCATCGTCACCTAAACAATTCACATCCTCGACAACAACAACAACAACAACAATCACAACAATTCAGAATGGAAGATTCGACCTCACTGGCTGTGTTACCCGCGTGATCGATTGGTCATGTTTGAATTGAATTGATTTTCCAAAATCATTGGAACTTGTAGATCTAGATAGGTAAGCCATGCATAAGTGTGTGTGTGTGTTATGTGTATGTTTTCTTGTTTCACATCGAATTTCCCACATCGGTTGGCTACTCGTCTGCTCGTAAAGCTCCATTATTTGACTTAACTGTCACACGTGCTCGCCCATATGCACTGTGTTTTAAATCTCTTCACGCTCTAGCAACGTGTCTGGTTTTCGGTTCCAAAATGCTGTAGCCGGTAACAGGAAGAATGTATGACGTTATTTAAGAACTTCTGAAGGATGGAGAAGAAAATATGAGAGTACCCTACTATTGATACATCTCAACCAAGAGACATTGCTGTTCTGGTAAATCTTGCGTAGTGTGGGCTTTTGCATACAATTCGCTTATGCGAATCGAGTGTTGGAGTACTCATAATCTGCCCATGTTTCATCCGTTTAAAAAATACTGATAGAGATACAAAATTTGTGTCATTCAACACAGTGTTTGGCAGTTAGGTGCCTATTTCAAAGCAATAGAAGTCTTGAGCAACGGATTCCGATCCGTCGGGAATAGCTACTCGTTTGCTTGATCGGCTGTCAAAATATCGTTCAATCAATCCCTGTTCTGCTCCACTCCGGTTCTAGTGTTACTGGTTAATTCTACCCGGTCTAACTGGCCTCAGCGCTTCTTTCGTCTAATTCATTCGTTCAAGGATTGTATCTTTTGGTTTGTATTTTTCACCAACTCCTCGAATGATCGTAAACCGTTGAACACTGAAATACAATACATATTGCCTGTTTCTGAAGTGACTTATGTGATCACGTCTCTCTCTCTCTATTCGCTTGTGTTCAGTGCTTCACCGCTTTCCAGTACAGTTATGCATGCACGTGCAACAGACGAGGAAGTTGGTTCTGCACTCACGGATTCCGTTTGTCCGGGTTCGCCCTGACTCTTCCTTTCTACCACACATTGCCTGACTTCATTGGTTTTCTCTGCCCCAAACCTCGGTACCCAGTTTAATTGGTGATAGGTTTGCATTGTGATTTATTCGTCATCCAGTCCAATCCGTTTTCGATTGGGCTTCCAGCCAAACCAGCCTCCCACCCCTGTTTCTGGAGTTGGCCACTATGTGGTCTATTCTCACTGCCCATCCTGCCGCATATTCTGACCATCCCTCTTGATGTACAGAACAATTTTGGAACAGTAAAATTGCCGGTCTGATCCGACACACGTTTCGGTTTTTGTTTACCCCTCAGTCGTTCTCTCCCCAACGCGCTCGTCCCCCCCTCCATCCCTCCAGCGTTTACTTTTGCATCTCACACTTCTGTGTCCCGTTGCCATCCCTGTTGAACAACGAGTTTCTGTGTTCATTTTTAATTTGCTGTACAGTAAATTGTTCACACACACACGCACGAATACATTGACTGTTTTTTCCCCGGTAGGGGAATATCGTTCCTAATGTGAGTAATCCATCGGGCAATTTATGCAATCCAGCGCTACATATTTTGCGCGCATCTTTAGCAATACACTCGACTATTGAGAACCGGTCTGTGTGTGTGTGTGTGCGTTTGTTTCCGCTTTCAGTATTCTTTCACCTTGTCACACGAATCCCCATTCACACTGGTTCACTCATCTCTCCCCCCATTCACTTTTCGGTTGATCTTATTCTCTGTATTGGGTTTTTTTACCACTCACAGTTCCACAATTTGTCTCTCCCTGTCACGCATACACTCGTACTCTCTCCGTATCCACTGCATTGCATTTTTGCCTTCGGTGCACTACAACCACAGCTCTTTGAAATGACCTCTGATTACTTTTCTCTCACCCCCACCCCCTGCACACTGGTGATCGATTCCTGTACTCATTGATTTGTTCCTGAATCGATCAGTCCCATCGTATTGCTGACCGACCAAACAGCTGTTGTCTTACAACTAGCTGTCTTGTGATCAGGTGCAAAAAACAAACAAACAAAAAAATTATTAATGATAAAGTGAGTAATATGGTTCTTTCCGACAACACACGGATTCTTTTTACTCGCTCCGCGTGTGTGTGTGTGTGCTCAGTGTTGTAGATAGATAGGTCATCAGAATAATCACCGGATTCTGATAGTATCGCTAACCATATGTTCGCGTTCACCGTCACAAAAGGTCTATCAGTCCGGAATCTGTTCCACGATCGACATTCTAATCTTTGTTATCTCTATGAGATCAACAAATCGTGTGACAAGCTAGGTTACTTCCTTCATCATCATCATCATCATTGTGACACTGAAGTCACGTGCAACTTTGATTGAGGTTGTTGCAGATGAACACACTTACCTGTTCCTGATTTCCGTTATCAGCTGATTGATTGTATCGTGGCTTGTGGGATAATGCACTGAATGAATCAGCCGATGCTCTGCAGAGACCGTTCGTTTTCATTGACGAACCACAGTGGTATCCTTAAGTTTGAGCGCCAAACAAATCACGGGGCACTAATCTTTATAATGGAAAAGTTCTACGATTTGTACGTGGGGCGGAATGCTGCCAAGGTCGGTGAATTTTCTTGGAGAATTCACAACCGGAACCTTCAGCTGGCCAAAGCCTTACCCACAAGGCAGCTAGGCTCTTTGGGAAAACCGCAATCCATTTGGGGACCGGTGTCCAGTTCATTGGGTCATACACCCTTTGGACGAGGTCAAGCGTCCAAGGTACCCAATGGTGCCGGTGACTACTGCCACAACCAGGAAGATGTGAATGTTTGTGTTTCGTAGGCCTCTTGGTTGGTTTGGAATCAGGGTTTTTATCCAACTGCCAGTGGTTCACTAACCCGATTATAACAGCGAATACCGGCCATTCGTCCTCTTATTTTATTCAGAAACCACTCACCACCAGAAGGCAGTAGGTAGGACTTCCTCAACGGAAGCTGATTGAGTCACTTGATCGTGTAGGGGCGTTTCTCGAGTTGCAAGGGAAGGGCGACCAGACACAATCCAAAACACCCATCCCCCACTATATTGAGGCTTTCGGGGTCTGTGAGTGGATCGACCTCACCCCTACTAAACGGGCGCTTGTTAACGGCCAGTGGTAGTACAGGAGAACGTAGTGGGTTGTCGATCGACAATCCTGTTCACATGACAGGCCACAGATCTCTGCTCACCTTAATGTTACATGTTACAGATTTGACCCGCGATCGCTCAGGGCTCTTGTTCTGTCCGTTCAGTACTGATTTCCACTGGAGAGAAACGAATAACCCCACTGATCCAAGGTATGTCGGGAACAACCCGAATGCCTTACAGGTTGCGCTGAGATGTGGGAAGGCTAGCGGTGCAACCTCGAATAAAGAGGTACACCGGTGCCGGGGGGACATGACTTGCAAACCTGATCCGGAAAACCTCTATGGATTATGATTGCCCATGAAGTGTTGTGATTTCTGGTAGTGTTAGCATCTCTGTTTCATGAGCGTACAGGTTCCCTTCATAACGGTTCCTTTATGGTCAACATCAACCACCACCCAGTTCTTACTTGGCTCCATGACATTGCTTACATATGACAATGGCCACATCCCACTAACTGCTTCGCTGCCCGGCTAAATCAAGCTCAGGTTGTCGACTTCTACGGAGCACGGTGAACCGCGACTTCATCCATGAATATGAAGCATTTTTGGCAACCTGGGCCGAAGAGATTCTATTCGAAATCAAACAGTCAGAACGGTGATCTGAATCCTGTTGCACTACTGCTAAAATCCGTACTAGATTGTAGGTCACACTTGATCGTGTATGAGTTACGGGTGCAACCTGGAATAGAAGCTGGGAGATTGATACAATGGCACTCACATCATATTTCCGTCACACTGAATCTATTTTATCCTTTCACTGGAGATATATGACCAAATCAAAGGGAACCGACGCAAATTCTCGGTAGAATTCATCGTGTAACTGTGGTACTAAGTGGTTTCAAAGAACCAAGGCCAATATTTGTGGATTAGCTTTTCAAATGAGTCAGCAAAAGCACGATTGCTCGCTAACATTCAGCCGCTGTGCAGTTCCTCTCAACCCGAACGAGGAGGTTTGTTCAGTTCATTGCATTCCCGCGACAACGAACAGGCGTCGACGCTTTGCTCTGTAGCTGGTGAACCGGTGAGACGTACAGCACACAGTCAGCTACTGACTGGAATCCAGTCAAGAAGTGAGCATTCAGGCTTGGCACTTGGTGCAATCTCGACACCCACCAGCAATACCGCGAGCTTTGGATGCCGAATCGCTTGACACACGGAGAGAAGCGTGGGGTTGTTGGGTCGGATATGGAGTTCACAAAGTGGTGGGGTCTTGTATGTGTGTTTCGGAGATACAGCATAATCAAACTCAAAAGTTTCAAGGGTTCTGATAGAGTGTGCGGATATTTAATGCGGCTAAGTGAAAGAGAGATTTTGGGTTTAACCATCTGATAACTTCTGGTTAGTTAACCTTGCTGGTAAAACGCTGAGTAATACCCGGTGGTTGACGTAAACAGAAAGTATCTGAAAGGATTCGGAATTGAGAGGAAGATCTAGACAGATGAGAAAGAGGGTTTTACAAATGGATGTCTCATGTGAGATGTCTTGTGCACTATCCCTTTGCTCGGATCTTTAAAATTGATTGTCACAAGTTGCAACCAGTCTACGCGATAGCGTGATAATAGAGTCAATGAATCAAATGTGTGTGAATTAATTTCGTGCAATATAACACACAAATTATATATACAGGTGCTTATCAAATTCGTGTAACATCCTTCTCATTTGAGAAATACATTCTAGTCTCCAATATCATACTTGCATATTGATGGCTATGGGTAAAGTATATTTATTCCTGGATTTATCGCCCACTTCTATGTTCTTGATTCTCTTCTATCACCGTTTGAATTCGCGCGATCTTGAGTGTTGCGATAAAAAATTGTAGTAGTTTTAAAGTTACAGCTCAGATTTCAGAGATATTTTAAGCAAAGCAGCATGGGAATTCATTGTTTTTAA